TGTCATGCTGGAGTACAGTTCGTTTTGAACAAGTTGCGAGAACAGTATTGGATATTACGAGGGCGACGTAAAGTTAAACAAATAATAGGCTCTTGTGTCATTTGTCGTAGATTTAAGGCGAAGAGAACTGAAGCTGTTCCTGCCGCTTTACCCAGAGATCGTGTTAAGGATGCTGTGGCCTTTGAGACCACTGGAGTTGATCTTTGTGGACCGCTGTACTTAAAATCTGGGGAGAAGATCTGGATAGTACTGTTCACTTGTGCAGTTTATCGGGCTGTGCATTTGGAGTTGGTTGCTTCGCTTTCGACTGAGGCTTTCCTGCTGGCTCTACGGCGATTCATTGGGCGGAGAGGACGTCCCTCGTCTATATGGAGCGACCAGGGCACCAATTTTGTGGGTGCAAACAATCTGCTTGGCGCCTTGGATTGGAAGCGAATCGAACGAGAAACAGCTGTACAACGAATTTCTTGGAAATACAACCCGGCTTCCGCACCCTGGTGGGGCGGATTTTGGGAACGTCTTGTCAGATCGGTCAAGGATTTACTCAAACGAATATTAGGCCGGTCTCGCTTGACTTACACAGAGTTAATGACTTGTGTGATCGATGTGGAAGCGGTCATCAATCAGAGACCGTTGACTTGCGTTACAGAGGACAGTGAAGACCTAATTCCCCTCACCCCTGCGATGTTTCTTGGAGGAATTACGGAGGTATCAGTACCGGATCTCGATCAGTTGGAGAACAATGGACTACGAGGAAAATACCGCCATTTAGCACGTGTCCGTCAGATGCTGAAGGAGAGGTTTCGCAAAGAATACCTAGCGGAACTTGTACATCGTGGAAAACTACCGACTTCCCGACCGGTAAAAATAGGAGATGTCGTATTGATCGGATCCGATAACCGCAAACGTTTGGAGTGGCCGATGGCAAAGGTTGTGGAGTTGCTGCCCGGCAAGGATGGCATACCTCGAGTAGCCAGACTGAAGCTGAGTAGTGGAGAGCTTGTTCGACCTATTCAGCGGTTGTATTTGATGGAAGCTACCCCTTTAGAGATGGACGAAGACGAGCCTGCGAGTCAGACGAATTTTGAAGAGGCGACTACATCTATGGAGAAGGCGGATTCTGACGCCGACCAGAAGAAAGAAAAGATTGTGGTGACGCGTGCAGGGCGTCAAATACGGAAACCAATTAGATTTACCTATTAAGAACTAATAAGTTGCGATTCAATCATTTTGTTCTATTCTTAAGAAATATTGGCTTTGTTTC